CCTTTTTTTTTTTCTTTTTTTTTTAATTTGACTAGTATTTATAAATATTTGAATGCGAATGTGATGGATGTAAATCTTTGATTTTAGCGAAAACCTGCTAACGACTAAACGAATCTTAAAAAAAAAAAACACGAAAGCAATTGAGAGGGCAGCGAAGCACTGGAGCGATTTGATAAGGATGGCAGTTGCAAAGCCGGAAAAAGCCATAAATTTGTGAGCATTGCTATAAATAGAAAACGAAGGAGAAGAATCTGTGCGATTTGCTGGAAGATTGATGAGAACCGAATACCATCCCATCAGCATCATCAAAACCGCGAACGATGATACGATTTATAATCGTAGCAACCGCTGTTTCAGCTACCGCCATCAATACAATCATCATCAACAACAGCAGAAGCACCACCAGCAAAAGCAGCAGCAGCAGCAGCAGCAGTATCTGATGATGACGAATAAGCCAGCGGTCACTACTTCCTCATCCTAAAAGTGCTGGGAATGCTGCCATTGCTGCAACTTGGTTCTTTTACTAATGCATTTTCTCAGCACTATCAATAGCAAAAGCCATTGCTGTTCTGCAACAATAACAACAATGGTAACGGCAACAGCAGTAACAACAACAATAACAATAATAGTGATAAATAACAATAACGATAACAATAATAAATAACAATAACGATAATAATAATAAATAATAATATCAACGATAGTAACAACAACTACTACTAATACCACTTTTACGCCAAGTAATGAAGGAATCAACCCTCATTCCATTATAACAGACTAGTTGGGGACCTAGAAAAGTAAATTTAATAAGTACACTAATGTTGTGCACGGGAATGCAAAATTTTAAGGCACAAAATTTTGTTTGTGTCCGCCTCAACTGAGAGGATGTTTACACATGGTCCCAGATCATGTGTTTGTTCAAAAGCCTGAGATCAACTAATATGACTGTTTAGGTGTCACTTGTGAAAGCACGGAAAAAATTGAAATTGTTAAGTTATCAGCGTTCTTACATTCCAGCAACCGGTAAACTAGAAATTTGGAATTTTCTAAGCATGATTCACCTCCATGAGCACGCCTCATGTCCGTACTCACCACTGAATTTTTGCACATCTTATATGTGGGCATGTAAATTTGCAATTACGAAATTGCTCAGCTCAGCAACACAACAAAAAAAGCTGAAAACTCATACGGTTGCTCCTTGATCACCCTGGGTTCTAAGAGCATAAAATAAGCTTCGTACACACAAATACACACAAACACACACACACATATTTATGTACATACATACATACATAAATATATACACACACACCCACAGACCAATGTCCCACGTGTGGACACGTGGAAGTTGGAAATGCAAAACTGTTG